ATTCCCGGGTAGCCAGGTGGGTGGAGAAAGAAACAGCCGATGTACACCTTGTATGTACACTTAATAGATAAATCTCGGGCTATATGGACACCTTGATGCTAAAAAGAAAAAGTAAAATTGTATCGGATCAATTAAGCTCAACTTATCTCGATACTGATCTTTGAACCATGCCTCTGATCAGCGCCATACTGATCGTTAATATCGGATCAGACATCGCTGTGAATATGAATTTGCACACCATCTGGTTAAGTCAGTACTACTGTCTGCTGTGACACATGGTGGAAGAACAGATTTACTCAAGGCTGTTGGCCAGCATGTAAAACAATTTATTTATTACAATCACTAGACTGTTCCGTTAGTCAGATGGTTACACGTACGTAAAGTAACCAAAAGCCACCGACAATAGGTATATAAAGACTGTGTTCCCTTTTCAATACATCCTGCTACCTGCTACTGCAAGTGCAACCTCATCTGATACATCACAACAAGGGTAAGGTTTAAATCTTCACTCTTTATTATATTTATTGTTAGATTTATTTGACAGGCTGGATCAATGCTAGAAACAAGACTGTGCCAGTCCCGACTCATAGTTAATGGCTTTAAAACTAAATATTCCAGTTTATTCCATTGTGTCCAACTAATGGGGAGATCTGTTTTAGGGTGTAGTTTCTTTACATTACTGCATTTCTGTAAAAGTTGTCTCACATATTTGCATATTAAAGTTGTTTAATTTAAATTCTCAATTCTTTGTGCAGATAAGAAAAGTTGAACTTTTATATATTTTTACAGAGATGGCTTCAGCTCTTCATTTCATTGTGCTCCTCTGTGGACTGTGGATCGGAGCAGATGTACTGCAACCAGTCGAGGCAGGTACCACGGTCTGCTCGAGGTTTCTGCCTCGTCAAATAAACAGATGCCGTTTCGCGATTGGCAGGCTCATTCTGCGAATTATTGGGTCTCTGTAAATAATCGTATTAATAACCTGTTCGGTTTGAAAAGTGTCCTGAGATTTGGCCCTGTACAAAAAAAAATTAATTGAATTAAGTAATGTTAGTTAGTTTTTGTTTTAATGTATTTTTTAAACTGAACTACTAAATTAACTTTTAAAAACTATTATTTAACACTTTAAGTTTTCTGAGATTTCTATTTCAGTCTCAGCAGTATGACATTTTCCCTGTCCCTTTTTTTCACAATAGTTATCAGGGCAACAAGAGGTAGTGAACCATTCAGATTTGTATTTTGTTTTTTTTAAGGTGTTTCAAGTGATCGTGAAGTACAATGTCGCACAATGTCCATCTCATATTGTAGTCTCACAAATCTAATCTCTACACACATCTAAAGCTTCAAAAAGAACAACTCTGAGTTGTACAGTAATAATTTCTAATATTGTGTTTTATATCCACAGGCAAAGTGTACGAAACAAACAGGTTGGTGCTTCTTACATTTATGGAGTTCAATGCTCAAAATACAGTAGCTGGCACTTAAACAAACTGAAACAGTTGTGCGAAAGCTCTTGTGTCTGCACCTTGATTATTCCTCTCTCAGTGTCATTCACATATCTTCATACTGCAACCACTCCTTAGGTTCCAGCTTCTCCAAAAGCATAGAATTTGCGACTGTTTTTATTGTTTTTTACAGTATGATAGAAAATTCTGTATGCTTTTGTTTTGGACTGTTGGGTGGACAACATTAAATAGTCGGCAGATTAATGAATATTGAAAATAGTCATTATTTGCTGCCCTACTGCATTATTGTCCTTCTAAGCTGATGATTATTTTGTAGTTGAGTGCTGTGAGACTGTCACCTGCCCTCCTGGTTGGACTGACTTTGGTCTTCGCTGTTACCTGTTCAATAAGGATGAAAAGGACTGGGCTGATGCAGAGGTACTTTACCACTAGACCACAACAACTGTCACCTGTATTTATAGCATATGCTATAAAACCGCTTTCTATTGTAAGAATTATGCAGTCAAAGAAGTCCTTATTTGTAATTTGTAGGGCAACTGCTTTACAATTGGCTGTCTTACACACTGATAATGTAAGACTTTAATATTCACACAGGTTGGACTGTATGTGACATTTTTGAGAATTCCTTCATTTTGGGTTCCTATTGTTAAAACATTAAATATTACTATTATTAATATTATTAAGTGTTAATTACTAAGAGAAGATAATTACTGAGTAGAACCCCTGAGCTACTGGTTATAATGTCGGTACAAACAGTGGACAGTACAGTGATGTTCATGTAATGATGTTAAGAATTCAAACAGTCTTTGTCTT